ACCATAGAATTGGCGACTATAATTCATTAAATAGGGGTTCGGTGGGAATCGGTGTCCGACTGTGCATATATATCTTCGGTTCTGGAAAAATTACCTTTTTTTTATTTCGAATCAAGAGATTAATTTCCATATTTATATGAGTATATTTGAAAAAAATGTATATCATGTAGCTTTTAATAAAACTGAAAAAGGTTTAAAAGTGTAAATAGTGTATCAAACATATTTTCATCCATTCTCCTAACAAAATTTGAATAACCAAGGGAGGGGGACAAAAATTTTAAAATACGTCATATTGCGCTCAAATGCTTTAATAAATAATTTTCTTATACGGTACTAATTATTAATGTAAGAATCTTATACAATAGTTTGTTATAAAAAATAAAAGCTGTACAAGAGAGAGAGTTTTTTTTAAAAAATTTTCTCCCTTGAACAGCTTTGGAGTTCATTCACTTCTTCAAACTCTACTTAATTAAATAGTTTATAATGAAAACAAGTATCCAAAGAAAAACTTTAAGTTAAAAAAATTAAATAAATAATGGTTTAAAGCATTTGTACATATGTTGTACGCATAAATAGGATATCCAAATTTTATCACATTGGTCATGCGGTAAATTACGAAAACTGATGTTCTTCTAAAAACTAAATACTTTTAGCCAGCAATGTAATGACAATACAAAGACAGAAACTGATCAAAACAGATAATTCTATGTATTTTTTATTTCTTAATTCATTTATTTCTTATTAATTCTACGATAAGTTGCAAAAATTTTCTCCTGCCCTTCTTGGGTGTTACTCTTTCTCTTATAATAGTCTTACTTAGCAATGAACCCCCAGCATATTTCAAAAAGTTCGGGGTCTTTGCAAACTTCATTGTCTGCTGAGGGTCAATTGTGAGATCTGCTGAAATTTATGTAGGAGGACAAAATCCATAGCCAAGTCAAACAAAAAGCTACCTGAAGGCTATGTGTTTGTCTTTCATGGGAATACAAAAAGTATGAGTACATATTGAGCTACTTTTAGTAAGCTAGTCCATATTTAACTTTTACAACCAGGTGGTATAAATAAGCTGTACCAAATTTATTTTGCTCAAATACGTGGGCTATTCTACTAAGCTATTCAAAAAAATATTTTTTGTTACAAAAAATTTGATATATTTTCTGAAATACTATTGAGTCTGAATTTGGTATTTCATTTATTGTACCTTACTTCTTTATTTTGTGCTCTGTATGTTAAATGTCAGTTTTCTTTTATGTTGGAACTTAAGCGTTCGAGGTGGGATTATATATTCAATGTTGAAACTTGAACTTCATATATCTATTGCAAATAGCGGTAATTTTTAAACAAAAAATGTAACAAAACTAATGCATAAATATTTCTAGCAAAAAGGAAAAAAACAAAAAGCACAATTATTTTTTTCAAAAAACCGTAATTTAAGTATTTTTTTTCAATCTTTGTACAGATTACGGATAATATACACTGCTGGACAATTGCTAAGGACGGATCACAAATTGCTATGTAGCATAACATTAAGCGAGACATGAGGCCTAGTAGGATAAAATATAGTTGCCACACTGTCCAAACATTAGAATAAAGAATATTTATTGTTCTGGAAAGTACAAAAGCTGTGAAACATCTGAAAGAAAAAAAATGTTCATTTGATCTGCGTACGGAGAAATGGAACAATGCATCTAAAAGTCAGCAGGCACCTTAAAGAAAGGTATCAATACGGGATATGTCCACCGTGGAGTGTGATGCAACATTCCACACGTCGTACCATACTTAGCACAACATTATCCAGCAGCTGTTGAGGCAATTTATCCCATTCCTCTGTGAGTGCACGGATGAGGGTGTTCTTGTTTGTCGGAGGATAGTTTCGACCAGCAACTTGCCTCCCCAAAGCATCCCACACATTTTCAATGGGGTTTAGATCTGGAGAACGCGCTGGCCATACGAGACGTTGAATACCCTCGCTGTCTAAACAAACCTGAACAGCGAGTGTTCGATGACATGTTGCGTTGTCGTCGATAAAAACAAATTTATCACCGACAGCACCACGGAAAAGACGAACATGAGGAGGTAGAACTTCATCAATGTATCGTTGGCCCGTCATAGTCCCATTCGCAACCACATGTAGGTGCGTGCGGCCATTGATCATGATGCCGACCCCACACCATGATACTGCATGTCGGATATCGGTCCTTTTCCTGGATATTTTCTGGACGATAAGCAGTACCACTCTCGCGCCAGATCAGTTGGCGTCTACAATCCGATGACAGACTGAACCTACTCTCATCTGAGAATAGTACGCATGCCCAGTCCTGTTCAGTTCAATTGTGATGCTCACGACACCATTGCAAACGGGCAGTACGGTGCTGTCTGGTCAATGGGACACACACAACAGGTCTGCGTGCGTATAGTCCTCCTCTTCTCAAACGACTGGCAACAGTTTTTCGGGAGATCTGCTTTCCTGAGGCAGCAAGAAACTGTTTTGCCACCTGCTGAGCTGTGGTGCGCCTGTTCCTTTTTGCTGATAGGACGATATATCTGTCTTCTGCAGGCGTCGTACTTCTAACATGACCTCTCCCGTGCCGTCTACTACACATTCCAGTAGTTTTAAATGACTTCCACAGCCGTGAAACAACGCTGTGAGCGATGTCGAACTCCCTGGCAACATCTGTTATTTTTCGCCCTTTTTCGATCTTTCCAATAATTCGACCACGCATAAAATCATCTATGTAATGTCGGGAAGACATGCCAAAAAATTTTAAGTTCGTCTATTAAATCTTTCCTGTAAAACTTTGACTTGAAACAACAACTGTCCACACGCGTCAAAACCTTTAAAGCTCTTATGAACGCTATCACGTGATGAACAGACGTGGAAAAAAATTTGCATATACTCATACTTCTTCTTACTATTATCCCGCACTTATTCTAATTTTCCACATTTTGCTTCCTTTCATTTTGTGGTTGCTATGGATGATAGTGTTATCCGTCCTTAGCAATTGTCCAGCAGTGTAGTTCACCACACGGACAAAGGGTTTCGTGAGATTATTTTTATAAATAATGAAGTTACTTAGTATTTAAATAAAATTTCGAGTATTTTTTGAAAAATCGTAAAAAAGCAGTTTTTGACATTTTACTTTTTAAATGACTGATTCTACAAGAGAAAACACATTTAATACCGTAAGATCCCCAATACACTGGTGTGCAAAAATTAAGGACGAGACGGTTTTTTAATATAACTTTGTACAAAAGCTTTCCAAATCAACACATTTAATACCGTAAGATCCCCTATACGTAAGGACATGTGTAATGTAAGCAACACTTACTAAAATAGAAATCAAAGGGATAAAAAGAAGCTTGATTGAAAAAGTAGCATGGAGCGCAAAATGCGACTGAAGGCCGAAACATCCCTGTGATGGGTGTCGAGCAAGAAACATTCGGTCTTTAGTAGGGGATATGATCTCCCCTGACTGCTAGGCAGGTTTCACAGCGTCTGCCCATGCTGAGAATGAGGGTGTCAATGAGTTGTTGAGGCATTGCTGCCCATTCGTCTTGCAGAGCCAATCGAAGCTCCCGAATCGTTACTAGTGGTAAGGTACGAGCTGCCAAGCGTCTGCCTAGAAAATCCCATACATGCTCGATGGGATTGAGATCCGGAGATCGTGCCGGTCAATGCATACGTTCAATATCCTCACTCTCTAAGAGCTGTTCGGCAGCTACTGTGCGATGACATGGTGCATTGTCGTCCATGAAAAGGAACTGCAGACCCATAGCGCCTCTAAAAAGACGCACATATGGAAGAAAAATCTTGTTACAATAACGGGTCCCGTTGACTGAACCTGCGTCGAAGATGTGAAGGTCTGTACGACTACCAAGCATGATGCCTCCCCAAACGAGAACACCGCGACCTCCATACCTGTCCCTTTCAATGATGTTCGAGGGATGATTGCGGCTTCCCCGCTCTCTCCAGTTGAGTATGCGATGAGAATCGCTACTCAAACTGAATCTGCTCTCATCTGTAAAGAGTACTCGTCCCTTATCATTGTCTCTCCAATTCCGGTGTTCCCGGCACCGCAGAGAACGCCTTTTCCGATGGGCAGGCGTTAAAGGTACACACCGTACAGGGCGTCGTGCAAACAGACCACCACCGTGCAGTCTTCTGGCAACGGTAAAACGCGATATCGGTCATCCAATCGCCTGTGTCGTGTGTCTAGCGATTTCTCTCGCTTTCTGCCGCCTGTTTCTTCTGGCCTGTAAGACAATGTACCGGTCATCTGCGGGTGTGGTTCCTCGTGGACGACCACTACTGAACCCCCGGATAGCTGTTCCTGTAGTTTGAAATTGTCTCCAAAGTCGTGAAACGATGCTGTGAGCAATACCGAACTCTGCAGCCTCACTTGTCACACTGCGGCCTTCCTCCAACTTCCCAATGATTCGACCTCGGGTAAAAGCATCCAGATGTCGTCTAACAGATTGATTATTCGCCATTTCTCGCTGAGGCAGCAACTCGGTGTGATTTTAACTGCTATACGGCGTGCAATCTCTTTGCCAGAAATACTGATCTTACACCGACAACATGCTTTATACTACTCAGACACTCCCCCATTACGTTTACCTGCATATCTGCGCATGTGCTACCGTACATCACCTTACTTAATCTCCTGATTGGTCTTTCTGTCCGCTCTGCCTCCTCGTTCAGCTGATATGCTAATTTTTCGACTCTTCGTCCTTAATTTTTGCACACCAGTGTGTGTATATATATATATATATATATATATATATATATATATCTTGTTCAAATTTTCAATCGTTAATAGAATACTTTTTTTCATCTACTCAAGTTTTAAATTTTTTTTTAAAACTTGTAGTGGGTGACACTTGATGCTAATACAGATTTTTTTATACTAGTTCTTTCATTAAATTTAATAAATGAATAAATAGTAACAAACAGAAATATTAGTCTAACAACATGAGTAGAAAGGAAAATCACTCGTTGTGTCCCGGAAGTGCAATGGATACTGCGTTGGACTTCTAATCCACAGTTCGTGGGTTCGAATCCCACCTGGGATGGCCTAATCTCTGATAATGTGATTTCTTTTTTTCTAACTGTTTTATTGGAATAATGAAATTTAATTAATAAATAAATAGCAACAAACAAATATAATAGTTCAATACAATATGCAGAAAAGAAAATTGCTGGGAAAATCGCTTTCTATTTCATCACGTAATCATCACTGATCTTTCATCACTGATTCTGTCATATTTATATTAATTGTAATTATTTAATAAAAAAAAACTAAAATAAGATTTTTCCTTATTGACTCAAGTAGGAATGGACTTAAAAATTGTTTTTTAAAATATTACTTGTTTTTGTTTGCACTTTAATGTGGATTTCTTTAATTAGTCTTTTTTAAATAGAGCCTAAAAATTATTTTTTTCCCTATAGTTTATTTATGGAGCCAAAAATAAATGTTTCAGGAGCCTCATTTTTTCAACCAGTGTTTCTAAACATTCATAACACACTGTATTTACAGAATAACTATTTTAAAAAAAGGAGCAGAGTATTTTAAGTCAAAACAGAATAAAAACAAGAGAGATAAGATTTTTTCTGTCAGTGTAGGTCGTAATCTTCTATTATGACACTTCCGTTTGAACCTTCGATAAATTTTTCCCCTGACGTCTCTTTTCTATTGAAAGTAGTTTGCTTTTTCAATTCCTACTATTAGCTCACACTCTCTATATATTTATTTATCTTGGTGGAATTATCAATCGTTAAAAAATACATTTAAAAGCTCTCAATTGAGCTGAAATTTTATATACGTGACTATTTTGGATGACAATACAATAATTTAACTATAATTAATAAAAAAATTGATTAAAACTAGTTATTTAAAGAATTACAAATACAGCCCCGTTGGCATCCTTTTTGGCGATTTGTGTCACAACTTGAAAAGTTTTTTTTCCAACATTTTAAAGCTCTCATCTGAGCTAAAATTTTCTATACACTTTTGTTTTGGTAAAAATATGATAATTTAATTATAATTAATAAAAATTAATTGACTGAAACTAATTATTTAAAGAATTACAGATACAGCCACGTTGGTTTCATTTTTAGCAACTTGAATCAAAACTTTCAAAGATTTTTTTCTCATGTTTTTAAGCATTCAGTTGATCTGAAATTTTATATACACGATTGTTTTGGATGACAATTTGGTACTTTAATGATGATTAATAAAATTTAATTACCACTTAATGTTGTGATTCGGTCATATGTAGATACATATTTATATTAATTGTAACTTTAGTTATAAATGCAGCTAAAATAAAAATTTTCTTTGTTGATCTAAGTAGGAATTCATTTAAAATTTTTCTTTGGTGAGATCTCTCTCTCTCTCTCTCTCTCTCTAAGTAGGAATTGACTTAAATTTTTTTTTATATTAGTTTTTTGTGATGTCGACTTTCAAAAAAATCTGAAGAATACTTTCAAGAGACAGAGTTTAATCGCGTCTTTCTTTTCGCATTTTTGTAATACGTTTTTTTATATTTTTCTAGGTATTTTTTTATATTTGTTTTGTTACGGTTGAGTATAACATATATTCAAGAGTTCGAATTCAAAAGTGTGTGGACTGTATCTACCCGATGCTGGGTGCTGTTGGTTTCTTAAAAGAGTTCTAGAGAGGTCCGTTAAAAATGATTTATTTACATTACAAGGCTGTAGAGCAATGACCTCATTCTCTGCCTGCCTAGTTCGGAGTGCTCGAAAAAGGGCATGACATCATAGGGGTGGGGGCGTGACGTCACTCCACCCCAGAGCCATTCAAAGCAGGGCTATTTTCACAACAGTTTAATTTTTTTATATGCAGAGAGTAACAAGAGAGGGCCATAGGTTAAATAATTTAACATGTTGTTTGTTTTTTGATTCCTACCATTAGTTCATACTTTCCTTCTGTGAACACCAGGTAAGACCGAAAAGTAAGTTGACTCACCTCGCCTTTCGAAAATGAGTACAGCCCAACGACCTGACACATGCGCATTACGATTTTCAGTATGCAATATTAAAGGTCGGGGTCTTTTGCAAAGTTTATTGGTCGTTGTTTGTTTGTGCTGTCGCTTAAACATAAAAGTTTTAGTGCAGTGTTTCTCATACTTTCAATACTGGCGACCCAATTTTTAATCATAATTTTTGTCGCCCCCGTAAAATGTATTTACTGCAACAAAAATGCACTTTGACGCTAAAGCTACAATGCGCGATCTCAATTATAAACTGTATAAGTTTCAAATTTTGTGTATATGTTTCTTTTAAGTAATGTATATATTTTAAGAAAATTACTTAAAATATATATTACTTACTTATTATGTTATTTTTCTTCCTCTAATTTTTAAATTGGAACAGATCGCAAAATGATATATTTAATTAAAGATTTATTTCCTTCAGCATCCATTTCTCAGAGTACAAATGTCATTAGAAAAATAGTCTAGTTTATGTTGCTCTCTATCATATTCATCACATCTGGCAATATCGGGTACGTTTTCTGGGCAACCTATCGGATGTCTGCGCAAAACATGTAAAAATGCTTTTCCTCGTACAATAAACACCCGTATCAATTGAACGATTATCAATGAATCGCTTTTGAAAATCTCTGTGAGCATTTTTATGGGAATAATAGTCTTTGTAACGTGTAACATAGAATTTATTATATATTTACATGCATCAGTTCCGACACGCACTAGACTTGTTGAGGCTCTGTAGTTAATGGCACAGGGTGGTTCACTAAGTCCGTATTAATCTGTGCAGTCATTAGAAGAGTCTCAATATCATTCTTATCCCTTAAACTCCGCATTAATAGAGTATTTTGCAGCGTTTTTTTCCGTACTTGATATTCTCTCATGTACTCTGATGGAAATTCAGCAGTAGCACTTAATAAATTTGCAATATTTCTCTCATTTTTTTCTTGTCATTTTTTCGACTGGACTTGCTGCTAGTTTTACATTTTTCTTTCTTTCACGAAAACCTTTTCCTCTTGGTGCATTTGATTTAGGCATTCCGACTAGAATTAATATAATTATTCGACGCAAATAAAAGTCAAAAAAGCAAATTAGCCACCGAAAACATCGCCATGTAGCACACAAACAACCTAAGAAAATATTTCAAAAAAGCACGCTTTTACTGCGAGAGCTATTTTGTGTACACCGTAATGTCACTGCATCTCTTTCAACCGTTGATAGATGTTCCCGGGTCTTGGAGAAAAAGACCCCCAATAGGAAGGTAGGCAAGTTGACCAATCGGAGGTAAGCAATCATCCATCTTTTACACGGATATGACGCAACTCACGATGTGTAGGTTGTCAACAAAACTTTTCATAGTATTTTTGAGAAATTGGATATGGTATGGATCCATATTAAATGAAATATTCTAAGAATTTTAAAGTTTCAGATCTTAAATCTATACAATCAACTTTCTGAATTAACATAAAACAAATTAGAATACTTAAATCATGCAACTTATAGAAAGAAGTTTTGAATTAAAAAAAAAACAAATACACATATAAAATGGCAATGTAGCAATGTTTTTATTAATAAATCTTTACATTGCATATGCTACATAAAAATAAAATTGACAAAGGATTTTCTATTTTTTTGAATTTCACACTATAATTGCAAAATTCCTACAATATGTTCCTCTAAAATATGCAAAGCATTATCTTCTGTTTTAATGGGAATATTTAATTTTTTTTACACTGAACATACCAACACTTAACCAGCTATTGTATATATATAGTGTTAAATATTCTTCAGTTCATCCAAATTTAAACTTATTTGGATTAATGTATTGACTTGTTATTTCGTTATCACTGATTATGCATCTAAAGTATCCTTTATACATAATTTTATTTATACTAAAAAAAAATTGAAAATGAAACAACATTAAGAAAATAGATTCAGAATTCTTGCTCTAAAGTTTGATATTTGAAAATATATTAACTTCTCAAATATAAAATTAATTACTTCAAAGTTTGTCTAAGAAATGCTAAATCAGTACTCATACTATTCTAAAATTTGGAACATACATATTAATCTGCCAACTAATTTCGACAAGCAAAAATACATCCGAATTTTAAAAAAAATTATATCACAATAGTTATTGTGTTCAAACATGAACATGAACAGTTTCCAATATTGGTTGTATATCGTAGCATTTGGTGGTTTTATGATTTGAAGAAATTAGTCGATATTATAATATACAAGTGCTCTAAATTTGCCCTTTCAACACACGTCACATAAAAATGTCAGTGATTGTGGACAATTAACCCATTAAAAATAATTTTAAATTTTTTTTACTGAAATTACCTTTATTTTTACTGAATTTTGCATTTATGTAGATTATTGCGAACAGCAATTTGTCAAGTTATTCATTTAAGGGTAAATAGAGAATTAAAAAAGGTTATATTAAAATTTTGAATATTTCTCTATTGTTTTTAAAAAGTAAATATCCCCTACAGAATCAAATGTCTCTATGTAAAATCATATTTGCTTTCATGATCTTAATTACTGATAAATATCACAGAGCTGATCTAAGTACACCTCTTGGGTCAATATTTGTAAACAACTCAATACAAAAAATTTATTCAGGACTTAAATTTATAAGCAGGATAGTATCAGTACAGATGAACCTTTCTGACTTTAATACTTACGTAAAAATTAAAATCCAGAGTATTGTTATGCTTAATACATTCCAGCTGGGGTTGCATAGATTTCTTCAATACACTGTGCTATACTTCAATAATATGTGTATAGTCCAGTGGCGCACACAAGGGGGTCCGGACCCCCAAGCCGTTGATTTTTTCCGATTGATTATAATTCTAAGTATATAGTACGTAAAATTTAATTAAGTATTTGTTATTAATGATTAGGTTTATTAATTAATGCTAATTATTTATTCAATAATTAGTTTTTTACTGTGTTTTGTTCCCGAAAACCGACCAAATCAAAAGGAGCATGATACAAGAATGGTGAACTTTTCACCCCGGACCCCCCTCCTTGAAAAATTCCTGTGTGCGCCACTAATATAG